GAGTAGAGGCCAATGTCTGTGCCTCTGCTCCAGAAATGTTTTCAGTTGATGTAGGATTACTATTGTCATTTCTTGCCAGTCTTTTTTTCCCTCCTGGCCCTAAAAAACCTCTGTCCATGGAGAGGTTGTGGCTCCCCTCTTTTGTTTCCCATAGTCTGACTGGTCTGTGTTTTCTAGTCCCCTTTGGATGATGTGCCTGGCAGCATACGTTGTAGCATTTTCTTTCATGGATTGATGAGTGACACATTTCTGGGTGAAATAAGTTACATGAGGGGAAGTTGCACTCTCCTGTTGTCATGTGGGTGCGGAATTTTTTGGGATGGTCAAAGGTGCATGTCCCACCTGTTTTACCAGATATACCGTGCCTGCAGATACCCAAGGCATAGTATTTACAGAGATTGTAATTCTGTTTGCTAGGATTTATTGTAGCTGCATTCGTAGCTACACACTTAATAAAGAAGCACAAAAACCAATGGATTTTATGGAAATATTTGGATGAATGTGCAGAGTATATGCTCATTCACCAAGAGACACAGGGAGACTGACTCACCTACATGCGGCATCCCAGCGGGAGGCGTGCTGATGCATATAATATGGACGATTTACGAGGCACCGGCCGAAATACGGAGCAAAATTTCCGCCCAAAAACCGGTCTAAATACAAATCGGCCGATAAACACAACGGCCGATATTTGGGGTTCCACTGTAAGCCACTCTGTCTGGCTTTTTTGGGTTATCCTAGGTTCTTTACACATATGCTGTGGAAGGGAGGCAGGGAGTGTAGCAGGCATGTAGAGAGTGTAGCAGGCATGTAGAGAGTGGAGCAGGCATGCAGGGAGTATAGCAGGGAGACAGGGAGTGTGTAAGGGAGGCATGGAGTGTAGCATGGAGGGAGTGTAGCATGGAGGGAGTGTAGCATGGGAGGGAGTGTAGCAGGGAGGCAGGGAGTGTAGCAGGGAAACACGAAGTGTGGAAGGGAGGGAATGCAGAAGGCATGCAGGGAGTGTAGCAGGCATGCAGGGAATGTAGCAGGCATGCAGGGAGCATAGCAGGCATACAGGGAGTATAGCAGGCATGCAGGGAGTGTAGCATGGAGGGAGAGAGTGTAACAGGGAGGCAGGGAGTGTGGAAAAGAGGCAGGGAGCATAGCAGGAATGCAGGAAGTGTAGCATGGAGGGGAGTGTAGCAGGGAGTGTACCAGGGAAACAGGGAGTGTGGAAGGGAGTGAAGCATGCAGGTAGGGAGTGTAGCATGGAGGGAGTGTAGCAGGAAGGCAGAGAGTGTAGCAGGGAGGCAGGATGTAGCAGTGTGTGTAGGAGGAAGGCAGGGAGTATAGCAGGCATACAGGGAGTGTAGCAGGCAGGGAGGGAAGTAACCCTAGAGAGGACTTTGATACCTGAAGGCCTTATGGAGAGGGATATCCCTTCCAACCAATAATCAGTCCTCTCTCTCTCCTCCTCCCTGTCTTCCATAAGCCAACAAGAGTCTTCAATAAAGGTATGTAATAGTGATTTAAATGTTCATTTATTTATTTTATTTAGTTCTCATTATTTTGTGTATGTAAAACTATAATTAATCTTTAAAAAATTTATTTTTTGTTAATATTTTTGGGTGTCTGGAATGGATTAATTGTATTTACATTAATTCTTATGGGAAATAATATATCGGTTGTAGGCCATTTCGGTTTTAGGCCGATCTACTGGAATGGATTACGGCTGATAACCGAGGGTCCACTGTATACTGAATTCTACTTTTTCTTTAACCCTTTGAGGGTCGCCAGGCCCTCTCAGAGACTTGTTCTCAGGGTCGCAAAAAAAAAAAAAAAAAAAAAAAAAAAAAAAAAAATCTAGTGAAAAGATAGAGAATCTTTTTCTGATCATAATGACACTAAAAGTATGAAATTTGATGGAAAACTTACGGAATTATGCTCTTGCGAAGTTAGCGGTCTCGATGATGTTTACGCATCAGCGATTTTGCCCACTTTGAGCCCTATTTTTGTCCAATTCCAGTATACAGTGGACCCTCGACCAGCGATGGCAACGATAAACGATAAATCTGACTAGCGATACATTTTATCGCAAAAATTTTGCCTCGATTAGCGCTAAAAAACTTGACCAACACTATTCGTTCAGTCTGAGACGCGTCCACTTCTGGCCAGTGTTTAGAAGCCAGCCAGCCACCATGGTCGCTTCCAAGCATACAATCGGAACATTTCATATTATCACAGCCTTTTTAGTGATTGCACCTGCAAAATAAGTCACCATGGGCCCCAAGAAAGCTTCTAGTGCCAACCCTACAGCAAAAAGGGTGAGAATTACCATGGATATGAAGAAAGAGATCATTGCTAAGTATGAAAGTGGAGTGCATGTCTCCGAGCTGGCCAGGCTGTACACAAAACCCCAATCAACCATCGCTACTATTGTGGCCAAGAAAACGGCAATCAAGGAAGCTGTTCTTCCCAAAAGGGTGCAACTGTTTTCGAAACTGAGATCGCAAGTGATAGAAGATGTTGAGAGACTGTATATTGTATGGATAAACGAAAAACAGTATAGCAGGAGATAGCATCTCTCAAGCGATCATATGTGAAAAGGCTAGGAAGTTGCATGACGATTTAATTAGAAAAATTTGCCAGCAACTAGTGGTGATGAGTGAATTTAAGGCCAGCAAAGGTTGATTTGAGAGATTTAAGAATCGTAGTGGCATACATAGTGTGATAAGGCATGGTGAGGCTGCCAGTTTGGACCAAAAAGCAGCTGAAAAATATGTGCAGAATTCAAGGAGTCATAGACAGTGAAGGACTGAAACCTGAACAAGTGTTTAATGGTGACACTGACAATGTTGTGAAACACTTTAGGAATGTCATAAAGGAACGGGAGGTACAGGCCTCTACGGCAGATATGTTGTGCGACAGAGGTCCAGTGACTCTCAAGCTGGTCCTAGTGGCATTAAAAGAACAAGGGAAGAAACCCCCGAAAAAGGACTTTGCCACCTCAAGTCCTAATGGAAGGGGATTCCCCTTCTAAACACTAAGACCATCAGCACACTCCCCTCTTCCCATCCCATCAATCATCACCAGATCTTCAATAAAGGTAAGTGTCATGTAACTGTGCATGTCTTCTTCAGTTTGTGTGTATTAAAATTAATATTTCATGTGTTAAAATTTTTTTTTTCAATACTTTTGGGTGTCTTGCACGGATTAATTTGATTTCCATTATTTCTTATGGGGAAAATTAACTTGACTAACGATTATTCTGACTAACGATGAGCTCTCAGGAACGGATTAATAGCGTTAGTCGGGGGTCCACTGTACTAGTCGACAAAAATCATAACTATTTTGCTAGAACTCCGTCTTTTCTATCGAATGAGTACAAGAAACCACCCATTTACCGATTTCAACTATCCAATAAAGTGGTCAGAAAATGGCAGTTTTGCCAGTTTCACACAAATTTCAAAAGATGCCAATTTCCAAATAGGGCCCAGAATAAACAAGAAAGACATTCCTGGCACTAAAATAACATTTCCTCTGTTCATTAGTCACGTCCCCAGGCCTCTGTTACATTTCTTTTGCTTTCCACTTTGATTTTTTATTCTCACAAAAAAAAAATAAGATTTACTGTTATGCAGACTACTGCATTAGTGTAGAAATGGTATAAATAATATCGGCGCACTTGTGAAAGAATATTAGACTCACCAGTTGACGTGTATTGGATGCTTAGCTAACATGATTTGTTTACTTTTGAACTTTGGCAAAAATCGAACATTTCTGCTATTTTGAGCTCAATTTCAAGGTACTTTTCATTGTAAAACCAGACAAAATCATCTCAATGTCTGTAATATGTCTTCCATTCTATACAATGAGACCAGGAAAACTAGAATACAACAATAAATACCATACGAAAATACGGTGCAAAGTCGCTGTTTTATACCAAAAACACTGTCAAAGTTTTTTTTTTCTCATTACGCACTGTGTGCTGCAGGATTTTTTTATACTGCGCACACTGACCACATAGACCCATTCTTTCATATGTAGGCCTACCAGCTTTCTCTTGCTAGATTTGAGGGCGCTAGAATTTATGCGTACTAGTACGTCAAAAACCCTGGCGTGTAAGCCGTACTAGTACGGCCAAAACCCCGAAAGGGTTAATACACTGAAATTTCACGCAGGGTTATTACTGTGTTGGCTCAAGACTTCAGGTTACAGCTTTGTGCATTTAAAAGAAGGAGAGAAGGAAACAAGTTGGATAGCACCAAGAAAAGTTTGTACATTTGCAGGAAACCTCTTGGAGACTGAAGTAAAGTGACTTAAGTTCCAAAACTGGGTTGTAACCAAAGGGTTGAGACTCAATGCTTTATGCTATACTGGGGCCATATATTTTTAATCTTTAGTTCAATGAATTTTCAATGAACTTGGACTTTAACCCTTTGAGGGTTCATGCTGTAGATCTACGGCTTTACGTTGAGGGTCCAAACCATAGCTCTACGTCATGAGCTCAGCTCACTCTGATAAGCTGTGAGCGGTAAATTTTGGCCTAGATATGAGAGAATACATCTATGTGGTATGTGTGCACCACATAAAACAAATCCTGCAGCACATAGTGCATAATGAGAGAAAAAACTGAGACCGCAATTTTCGTTTAATAGTTTTAAGATTTTTTAATTACATTGCCAGCCTCCTAAGGCAGGGGTAACCCTAAAAAAAAAAAAAAATAATACATTCACCATTCAATCAATAACTGTGTAGCCACAATTGTGTGCAGACATAAATGCTCATACTCTGGCACATCAAACCCTAAAATATCTCTTGTCTCCACTCTGATCTAGCATACTCACACCCACCTGTTGAATGCTCAGCAGGCATGTGCATTGTAAAAAAAAAAAAAAAAATACAAAGACTGGATTTTAATTCCAAATGTATTTTGAAATATTTTTTTTTTAATGCTAGCATCCATAAGCAACAAAATCAATAATGCAATTAAAAAATCAGCTGGACACAACACTGACCTGAAGACACAGCATCATGCGATCATAATCATCATCAGTCATAGATTTTTGTGGCAAACCAGACTTGCCTAAGTGCACAATAGAGGAGATCACTAGCATCACTTCAGCACAAAAAGAATTCTGCTTGGAAGGATCACTCTCCAGAGATGTATGCCTATTAAAAAATAAATATACAAATATAAATCACATAACTTTGAAGAGATTATTACTACTGGTATTATTATTTAAGGGAAAGTGCTAAGCCCATAGGGTTCATACACCACCTGGGAATAAGGAGATGTATGAGGGGATGGTAGCTGCAAGTCTATAGATCAAGAGCAAACAATTTAACAGTATATGATCAAGTAACCAGAGAATTTTTTTTTTTTGCTATGTAAGAATAATAAATTGGAGAATTGTGTATAGACTACTGAGAAATTATATTGTACAGCTGAATTACATTAATACCATGAGTTTACAGACTAATCAATATAATACACTGCAGAAGACAAGTATGGAAGTACTACCTGAAAGCCAACTTGACAAGAGTGTTGGCAATCACAGCTCCCAGGTAAAAGTTCCCCTCAAGAAGATACTTCCTCAGAGGTGGTCGATCATCTGCCTTTCTAGATGACCTGTCCAATGAGAATTCCATAACGTAGATTCCATGTACAGCAGTACCCTAAGTTTTGAACTGCTCCCAACTCAACCAATTATGTAAGTGTAAATTGTAAGTGCTTTTGTAAGTGTATTTTTGGGGTCTGAAACGGACTAATCTAATTTAGTACATTATTCCTTATGGGAACAAATGCGTTCGGTAATGGCACTCGAACAGCCTTCTGGAACGAAGAAAGTTCGAAACTTGGGGTACTACTGGATATGTCTTTAGGTAAATAATGACAAAATATACTACCAAGGCAAGTGCATCCAAATTTTAAAAGAAAATTTATCATTTGCCTTTTAATACTGTTACAGTGGACCCCCGGTTATCGGCCGTAATCTGTTCCTGAAGGTCAGCTGATAACTGAAATGGCTGATAACCGAATTAATATTTCCCATAAGAATTAATGGAAATAAAATTAATTAGTTCCAAACAAAAATATTCACAAAAAAATTATTTTTTTTTACAAGTATGCAAGTATTACATACCTTTATTGAAGGCTAATGCTGGCTTCTGGAAGATAGGGAGGAGGAAAGAGGGAGGAGTTAGTGTTTGGAAGGGAAATCCCCCTTCTCTGTCTTTTAATGCTACTAGAACCAGCTTGAGAGTCACTGGACCAATGTCTCACAAAATAACTGTCCAGAGTGCTCTGTTTCTTGCGTCTCTAAGATTTCCCTGAAGTGGGACAGGGTTTTGTCACTAAACATGTTGCAGATATGGCTTGTTTCTGCTTTGTCAGGGTGGAGTTTCTCTACAAAAGCTTCCACCCTGGTCCACATTGCATACAACTCTTTAATCTCTGAAGAACGGCACCTCCTTCACTTCCTCTTCCTCCTCCTCTGAAGCAAGTTCCTCAGCTGCAGTCTGTTGCTGTTCAAGTTGAAGCTCTTGTAGCTCTTCAGTGGTAAGCTCTTCCCTGTGGTCCTCCGCCAACTCTTCCACATCCTCATCACTCACCTCCAACCCCAGGGACTTCCCCAAAGACAATAGAGTCCACAGAGTCGGCAGGGTCAGGGTCACGGTGAGTCTCAAACCCTTCAAAATCCCTCTCTTGGACACAATCTGGCCACAGTTTTCTCCAAGCAGAGTTCAAAGTCCTGGAAGTCACTCCCTCCCAAGCCTTACCTATAAGGCTTATGCAATGGAGGATAGTGAAGTGATTCCTCCAGAACTCTCTTAGGGTCAACTGAGTGTCCGAGGTCACTTCAAAGCACTTTTGAAACACTGCTTTTGTGTAGAGTTTTTTGAAGTTAGAAATGACTAGCTAGTCCATGGGCTGGATGATAGGAGTGGTGTTAGGAGGCAAGAACTTCACTTTTATAAAACTGAAGAAGTCCCTAAACACTTGGTCTTCCAAGTCTGGAGGATGTGCAGGAGCATTGTCCAATAACAGGAGGCACTTGAGTGGCAATTTCTTTTCCAGGAGGTATTTTTTCACACTAGGTCAACCATATCATTAACCGGCTCTTTGAAAATCTGCCTTGTGACCCACGCCTTATGATTAGCTTTCCACATCACACACAATCTATTCTTCATGACATTGTTTTTCTTAAACACCCTGGGATTTTCTGAGTGATACACAAGTAAAGGCTTCACTTTGAAATCCCCACTAGCATTACCACACAACAAAAGACTAAGCCTGTCTTTCATAGGCTTGTGTCCTGGCAGTGCCTTTTCCTCCTGGGTAATGTAGGTCCTGTTTGGCATTTTCTTCCAAAACAGGCCTGTTTCGTCACAACTGAAAACTTGTTGGGGTTCAAATCCTCCAGTCTTTACACAGTCCTGGAATTCGTGAACATACTTTTCAGCTGCACATTTGTCAGAACTTGCAGCCTCACCATGCCTTACAACACTGTATGCCACTACACTTCTTAAATCTATCAAACCATCCTTCGCTGGCCCTAAATTCACAAACTGCAGCACTTGTTCCAGGCATTTTCTTTGCAAGATCCTCATGCAACTGCTTTGCCTTCTCACAAATAGTAGACTCCACTACACTGTCCCCCACTATTTCTTTTTCCTTAGTCCACAATAATAATAACTTTTCTATCTCTTCCATTATCGGTGTCCTTTGTTTAGTTAGAAAAGCAACTCCTTTTGCAACATTAGCATCTTTGATTTGTTCTTTCTTTGCCAGGATGGATGTAATTGTTGATTTATTCTTGCTGTACATCCTGGCAAGTTCCACCACCTTCATACCACTCTCATATTTTTGTATCACTTCATGCTTAAATTCCATGGTGTTTCTCTCTTTCTTTACTGCAGGAACTTTACTAGGAACTTTCTTTGGAGCCATGGTTACTTATTTCACAGTTGCACTGCAAGAAAAATCACTAAAAACAATGGTAAACAAGTGAAATGTTTGGATGTATGAGCAGAAGCTTCCTCAGCCACCGAGAGACAAAGCCAAACTGAAGCGCTAGCTGCCCTAGCCGGTGGATGGACGCATCCAAAACGGCCAATAACCGAGCGAACGGCCGATAACTGAGCGAACGGCCAATAACCGAGTGCCGAAAACCCTGCCGATAACCGAGTTGGCTGATAACCAAACCGGCCGATAACTGGGGGTCCACTGTATATGTACTGTTTCTCAATGAAACTGATTATATTTCATTACATTCATTTAACATTAACCCTCTCTCTAGTGCTGTATATAAGTTTTAACTCTGAATTTACACATGCCCCAAAACAATGCAGAAGCATACTTAAACTAGTGAAACATTTTCACGCAGCATAATACTTACGTTGTTGTTGAGAAAGCAGACTGGGAGGCGTAAGTACCATCAGCTGTCACCTTTTGCTGTTGCTGTTGGTTGGCTCTGTCTCCTGAGCCATCCTCTTCACTGGCCTCACCAGCAGCCTTGCGCATCTCATCTTCCACAATAGGAAGCTCCCCTAGACTTCCTCGCACAGCGGACACTACACCCAAAACCTCAACTGTTAAAAAATATAGATCATTAGCTTTACTATTACCATGTGAAGAATAACAATTGTAAATGCCTTTGTAGACACTAAAAGGCCAGTGTCATTTATTTAAATTGTAAACATAAGCATAAGACATCTACAACTTCATACAAACCACTAGTTATGAGTGAGAAGAGCTGGACTTTAGGTCTTGCCCAACATTGGCTAGTAAACTTGCTGCAGTGTTCCTCTGCATTCAGTTAATTAAACCTATGTAATTAAGACATTTTGAAAAAAAAATACCCAGTTGTTGCACAAGTGTCTTATTTATCTACTTGTTGTACTTGCAACTTTAAATTAATACAGCTCTAGTTAACAAACAACAACAGGCTAAGATTTGACCCCAGCAGCCATCATGGGCTTGGTATCCCTAGTTTTGAAGGTTCTCATTATCCATGCTATCATTTTCCAAACAGATGAGGTAGATACATTGTTGTGGTCTTTGAAGGCGAGATCCTCTGACATTATCACTCCCAGGTCCGTCACATTTCTTTTTCGCTCTATTGTGAGTACATACAACAGGGCCCCACTTATATGGCAGGTTAGCTTCCAGGCTACCACCTTAAAGTGGAATGCAATTTTTTCCACTTATAAATGCCAGACAACAAGTTTACACTAACTTATATCAAGTTAGTAATAGAACTAGTCATTAAAAAATACAATAAAAAGTAAAATGCACACACAGTACACCCATTACTTACCTTAAAATATCTGTAGTCTTAATGTAGGGTGAGAGGAAAGTCATATTTATTTGAAGGAAGTAAAGTGTGGGAAGTATGGCAGCCAGCCAGGGCAGCTCACCCCACCCCACCCCACCCACACGTAATATATGATATTTAAAGCGCCCCAGAATGATAAAATACATATACAGTACATTCATTCATTACCTTAAAAGATTTCTCTCATGTTTTGCTTGCATTTTGTGCAGTTATTTTGCCAAATTTCTATTTTCTAACCATGGGTCCTAAGAAAGAAAGTACACAGGAGAGTGCTGTGAAGATAAAGAGGATGATGTCCATGAAATTAAAGCATGAAATCATAGATAAACACAAGTGAGGTGTGCAGATTGTGGGTTGAGGGGGAAGCTCGCTCGTAACTCGGATTTTTGGCTCGTAACTCAGAGGAAAAAGTTGATCAGGCGATGGCTCGTATCTCAAAAAACTCACATGTTGGGACACTCATAAGTTGAGGTTCCACTGTACATATTTTAGAAATACGTACAGTAAATTATCAGCTAACACATGATCTGTTAACATTTTCACACAGAGTTGCATATTTTTGACAAAAACACAGTATTAACCAATTTACATGGCAGAGGATATGGAGAAATTTTTTCCAGGAGGGGGTATTAGCCCCCATCAGCCCCTTTCAGCCCTGAGGGGCCCAGCCCTCTCAGAAGGGGAAAATATCTTGTTTACTGCTACAGCGAGTAATTGATCCCAGATGCAGTACCAGTATACGACCTGTGGTCAAGCGACTGCCGCTCCTTGCAGTCCAGTGTTGCAGAGTGTATTTTAATAAGAGACAGTACATCTCTTACCTTAGCAGGACAATTAAGGAAAATCCTGCTCCCACTTTATTACCATAGTAAAGATAGTGGACATTGTTGTCTATGCTTAAGACAGCAAGATTTAAACATTCTGCTTTGCCTCATGTAGGAAGTGGCAAGGAAACAAAGGTACTATGTCAGCTTTTCCTTTGTACTGGGGGCAGTAACGGCGTGGGACGCTGTGGCATCTTCAGATTACTTTTGACTCTACTGAGAGTGACACTGACGCCAGGATAACCAACAAAGAACGATCTGTGCGTTAGTGTGAACAAAGTGTCTCATAAAACACAATAAACACTTACAGAGAAGTGTGATCAGCTTCTTTAGTGATAAGATTGTGAACAATAAAGACAAATCTTGTGGAACATAGTGTACCAGTGTGCGTATTCCTAGACTATGGAAGACGTGGACATCCAAGGACACTTCAGCTTCTATCAAGTCACCGATATCTGTCGAAGGTGTGAAGAACACCATAGCTCACGCTACAAGAGCAAGGTAGGTTACGAATTTCTTGTAGTACGGGGGACTGCGCAGTTCTTGAGTCGCAAGGAGTTTGTAATCAACCTATAGTCGGCAGTTAGGTGCGGACTTTTGAGTCCACACAAGTAAGTTTGTCAGCCATCAGTGAATGAAATATGCTGACATAACACCCCCTAGGGGTAATTTATTGTTTCAAATTATAACTCATTTCAGCCCGTTGAGGAATGACTTCGACAGCTTCTCAAGACCTCGTCTGCAGGGGCAGCTGTGCAGGCGATGAGCTGTCTTTCTAAGTTAAGTTTTCCCTATACAAACTGTATAAGCTTAGCTGGTAATCCCATTCCTCAACAGAGGACATGTAGGGGAAAAATAGGGCAAATACTGGTTTTTTCCCCTCTGTCTTGCAGTGAGCCTACAGGCAAATCCAGAAAAACTCACATGTAGGGACTACAGGCAAATTACTTACTTCTGTGCATTTTACAAAGCAGTTAAAATAGTTGAATGGGCAAGGTCTTGTGTTCAATTGATAGAATAAAAGTATACAAGTACCATCCATCTTACGCCCGAGCTTGGTTCCAACCAACTGGTCGTAAGTCAAAATGGACGTAAGTCGAACCTTTGAAAATTGCCGACATACTGGGTAGGGCATAATGTCAAACCTTTGCTATATAAACTACCTACATAGTACTGTAATGTAATGTACAATCATTATTTAATTCTTTTTACCATAATGTACTATTGATATATTTTATTCATTTATGTACTGTATATTATGTATACATGGTAGTGGACTGTATTGTAAATTTTACATCTCATACAGTATCGTATGTTACTGTTATCTAAGTATTGTCGACACAGAGGAATGGGTGAATACCACTGGTAGTGTCGTCCTGCCAGAATGTCCTATAACCTATGCCCTAAGTAAAGAGAAACGACTCTGGAATATGTGTAATACGTATTCGACTGGCTGGCTGGGTGGTTGGGTGGGTGGCTGCCTGCCTGGCTGACTGAATTTGGCTGTCTCTCCATCTGTATCTGTCTGTCTCTATCTCTGTCTCTCTCTCTCTCACAGGTACACACAAGTCAAGTTATCATACTTAGTGTAAATTACCTAGGATAACCCAAAAAATCCAGACAAAGTGCTATACAGTGGATCTGTGCTCCGGTTACCTGGAGGTTATTCCGGGGATCAACGCCCCCGCGGCCCGGTCCATGACCAGGCCTCCCGATGGATCAGGGCCTGATCAACTAGGCTGTTACTGCTGGCCGCACGCAGTCCGACGTACGAGCCACAGCCCGGCTGATCCGGCACTGACTTTAGGTATCTGTCCAGCTCTCTCTTGAAGGCAGCCAGGGGTTTATTGGCAATTCCCCTAATGCTTGATGGGAGGCTGTTGAACAGTTTTGGGCCCCGGACACTTATGGTGTTTTCTCTTAGTGTACCAATGGCGCCCCTACTTTTTATTGGCGGCATTTTGCATCCTAGGTAGTAGGTTGGTAGACAGCAACCGCCCAGGGAGATACTACCGTCCTGCCAAGCGAGTGAAAAAACGAAAGCCTGTAACTGTTTTACATGATGGTAGGATTGGTGGTGTCCTTTTTTCTGTCTCATTAACATGCAAGATTTCAGGTACATCTTGCTACTTCTATTTACACTTAGGTCACACTACACATACATGTACAAGCATATATATACACACCCCTCTGGGTTTTCTTCTATTTTCTTTCTAGTTCTTATTCTTGTTAATTTCCTCTTATCTCCATGGGGAAGTGGAACAGAAGTCTTCCTCCGTAAGCCATGCGTGTTGTAAGAGGCGACTAAAATGCCGGGAGCAAGGGGCTAGTAACCTCTTCTCCTGTATATATTACTAAATGTAAAAGCAGAAACTTTCATTTTTCCTTTTGGGCCACCCCGCCTCGGTGGGATACGGTGTGTTGAAAGAAAGAAAAAGCAAAAACTTTCATATTTTCTTTTGGCCAACCCGCCTCGGTGGTACGACCGGTGTACTTGAAAGAAAGATTATATATTAAAGTGAATAGTATGTACTAATATTAAAAAAATATTATTAAAATATAATAAAATAATAGTGTTCACTCATTACTTACCTTAAAACATCTGTAGTCTTAATGTAGAGTGAGAGGTGAGTAAACAAGATTAAATGAATAAACAAGAGAGAAGGAGAGTGTAGAAGGTTCGCGAGTTTCGTAAACAAACTAATTGTTGTTGTTGTTGTTACCAGCCCAGTCACGAATGGTTTTTGTTCACTCTGTCAAACCGACTGGAAAAGCATCTCATATTTATGTTAATTTATATGTTTGTATGTTACATAGTATGCTTATTATATAATTTTGAAAAAACATAGGTGGATTAAGTAAAACGGACATATTAACGTTTTATACACATTTAATGCGCCTCAGAGTGATTGTGTTATCATCATTAACATGGCATCTTCAAGACCAATAACACACTCTTAATGATTTTAATGTGTACCTGTATGCCAGCATAGGCACAAGATGTGAAGTTTAAAGCAGTTAAGTTCATATTTTATTCATTCTAGAGTGTATATCAGGTTTTCATGTTATTTATATTGTTTATTATGTCATATTAGATGAATTGTGAGAGATAAATAAGCCGTAGAGCGATATTAGCATCATATTGAATATGTGACGACTCTGCTTCGTGTGTAATACCTATTGGTCCATGAGCACTTCTGAGACAAAGAGAAGCAAACAGAAAGACAGACACACAAGTAGACAGAAAGACAGACAGACATAGGAAGACAAAGACAGATAAGCAGACAGACAGACATACAGGCAGACAGATTCAGACATATACAGACAGGCAGACAGATACAGGTAGGTTTATGTGCAACAGTGAAAATAAGTAAGGAGAGTTTGAGAGTAAGAGCCTTTCTTGCCACAATCTCCAGTGCAAGATTCGGACTTCCTCTTAGGGGCCAGGGTGAAATTTACTGTCCAGTTAGTACAGTTAATACAGTATGATGCTGCTGATAGGGCAGGGTAACTCAAACTGATGCTGCCTGCATGGCGCGTTGCCACCGCGAGTATTGTCGAATATTGTACAGCGGTATGCATCAGCTGACCCAGCCCGGCTGTCAGATGCACGGTCATAAGTCGAGTGGACGTATGTCGAGCAGGTCATAAGTCGGATGGTAGGTATACTAGCAAAATAGTTAAGAATTTGGTTGAGTGGAACAATGGAATTGGCATAACCCTTTCAGGGTCCGTCCCGTAGATCTACGGCTTTACGTTCAGGGTCCAAACAGTAGATCTACGTCGTGAGCTCGGCTCACTCTGATAAACTGTGAGTGGTACACTTGGGCCTAGATATGAGAGAATACATCTATGTGGTATGTGTGCACCACATAAAACAGATCCTGCAGCACACTGTGTATAACGAGAGAAAAAAACTGAAATCATGATTTTTCGATTAAAACAGCGACTTTGCAGTGTTTTTCCATATGTTTTTTATAGTTGTATTTGCCATTTCTTGGTCTCATTTGATAGAATGGAAGACATATTACAGAAATAGAGATGATTTTGATTGGTTTTAGCACTGGAAATGGCTTGAAACTGAGCTCAAAGTAGCAGAAATGTTAAATTTTTGCCGATATTCAAGAGTAAACAAACGACCTCACACGTCTAATACACGCCAGCTGGTGGGTCTAATATGCATTCACAAATATGGTGATGATATTTATACAATTATTACAGTATTGCATAACAGTAAATCGTCTATTTTTTGGTGTGAATAAAAATTCATTATGTGAATAAAAAATCAAAATGGAATTTATTTGTAAAGCCTCAAAACATAACTAATGAACAGAGGAAATGTTAGTTTAGTTCCAGGAATGCCTACATTGTTTATTCTGGACCTTATTTTGAAATTGGAATATTTTGAACTTTGTGTTAAATTGGCCAAATTAACAATTTCCGATCACTTTAATTTGTAGTTGAAACAGTAGACTTGGCGATTTCTTGTGCTCAATCGACAGAACAGTAATACTAGTGAAATAGCTAAGAATTTGGTTGACTGGAATAATGGAATTGGCCTAAAATGGGAGTCAAAGTCGGCAAAATCGCCAATTCGTAAATATCGCTGACACATCAAAATTCGCGAGAGCATAATTTCATCAATTTTCCATCAAATTTCGTACTTTTTGTTTTATTACCTTCACAAAAAGATTCTCTACCATTTCATAAGAAAAAATAACAAATTTTTTTTTTTGGAAAATTCTTGGACACTGGGGCACCACTTCAGATTTGGGCCTTGGACCCTGAAGGGGTTAACATAGGACTCAAAGTTGGCAAAGTCACTGTGTAAATTGCACCAAGAACACTACATTGCATCTGAATAATTTTTTAAGTTTTCCATCAAATTTTGTAACTTTTGCATCATCACCTTCAGAAAAAGATTCTCTCCCATTCCAGAATTTTTATTTTTAAATTAGACACTGAGACCAATATTAATTTTGAAAGGGGTTAAGCTCAAGCCCATAGTTATTTACCTTTCCAAGGCTCCCTCTGCTTTGAAAGATACAGAATAAACTACCTTACCAGTTATTTGGGAGGTCAAAACAGTTAATATGGATGACAGAGGAATTATTTGTTGACTGGTTTAAGCTTCACTTAATTCCCAGTCATATTTAACCTGCACAGCAAGAACCTTTTATTCAAAGTTCTCTTCACTCTTGGTAATTCCCATACTCGTCCAGAAATTTTCATGGATACGGATCCACATGTAAAAGTTGTTTATACCAGGAGATTGCCAGGTGAAGATATGCAGGAAGATTATGTGAACCAACTGTTAGAAGGTGATGAGGAACAAGCCCAAATACAACTGAGGCAGATAACAGATGAAGATGAGGAAGAAACACCCAAAGAAAAACAGTTAACACTGCAACAGTCATGTGAGCAGTTCCATATTATTGGAAAAAATGCACATTTTCACTGCTCTGAAATGGGATCCAGAGATGATGATACCTTACCATCAGCTGTATGTAGTACTGAAGGGTAAAATAGACAAGAGCCACAATACAGAAGTCCTTATTACAACAGAAGTTATAGGCATCAGTGCAGAGCCTCAGCCACTCACCTTAGCTTACAATCCACAACCATCCAAGTTAGCCCAATAGGGCCATACCAGCCCTCTCCACTCTTTTCAAAATTGACATACACCAGCAACCAGTATTTAAGGTAAGAAATACTTATGTAACCTTTGTAGTTATAAATAGTGTACATATTAACTATCACATCACTACACTGACCTACAATTATGTTTTTTTTTTTTTTGACAATTTCAAGATCTAAAAAAAAAATTTGATTGGCCTATTTTTTTTTTTTTGGGGGGGGGGGGGGGGGGGGGGGGGGGGGTTGGTCAAGGATGGTAACCCTATTTTCCGACACATTTTTCAGCTCGTCTTACATGATTTTTATATTATATGCCGTTTTCAGAAACATAACTACCGTGTTAACCAATGGTCAACTGTATTTAAAAATTAGATAATGGGTATTTCTAGTATTTCATGGCAACTTGGTAGCTTTCACAAGTTATCCTACCTTGTTACCTACCTGAACTTTTTTATACAAGAGGGAATTACATACTGGACTGTCACATATTGGATGCCACCCAATATTTGATAGTGCTATGCATCATACAACTAATTCTATCCATAAATTTACAATCATATACACTCATTATACTAAACTCAATCACTTTTTTTGGTCTTTCATCTTTTTTCTTAAATACAGTACATTAGGATACTTATTCCATGTGTAATTAGCCTGATTCAAGTTCTGGAGGTAGGAAGCACAGTGTTTACACTCTGAAGGATGGGAAGGGATGTTCAAGTTTGGGGAAGTATTTGAATTGTAATGTTCATGCACTTTGGGAAGAACAGCTAGAAAATGAATGACACTGAATGTTTCCTTCTTCAGATCACCCTGCCTTGGTAGAAAACAGCTGATGTTTTTAAAGAAAAAAAATGGCAATGTAATTTACCTGCAGTTGAGGCATATTCTCCAAGAATCCACAGTGTGTGACACTGTACAGTTACAGAGCAAATAGTTGGAAGTGCTGAGAGTAAACGCTCAATAATTTGTGAACGCAGAACCTGTGGGGAAAGAAAAAAAATCAGATTTATGTACATAAAAGATAATATACTACCCATCTTCCAAAATTAAACTGGTACTACTGTTACCACATATAAGGTTTGTTAAGTTAACAAGTTACATAATATATACAGGTGTCCCTTGTTTTATGTGATAGATGTATTCCAGGCCCTTGGTGCATAAAGTGAAATAGCATAAAGGGAACCCAATTTAACATGTATATCATAGGAACACATTCCTTTTTGCATATGTCACATTTCTCAATTTATGAATTATTTGAAAAAGTAAAAACAACAAGAAATGGTTGGGGTGTGAGTATGGGTCAACAGGAATACCAAAGTGCCCTTTTGTTCTTATTTAGGAAAGCAATGCAATGGTTTAGCAAGAGAGTTGTATATGAGATGCTGAGATTAGGACTGGCAAAGCCTAGGCCAGTAGACCCACTGCAGTGCTACTTTATACTTTAGGAAGGCAATGGTTTAGCAATAGAACCATGTGTATGTGGGGAGGTTGAGAAGTGCAGGACTTTACTAGTTCTGACTAATAGGGCTGTTGCAATGCTTTATATCAATATAAATTAGTTGAGAGTGACATTTAAAAGTACTGTAAAAGGTAAAAAAACAAATGGTGCTGGACTTGGGATGGTGCATAAGAGTGAATTCATTCAACATTTAATGAATTATTAGAAGTAAGGTCACCCCATGCAAGTGAATTAAATTAAAACAAAACCACTTAAAACAAGGGAAACCTGTACTTTACTGTTCTTAGTGTTGGTAGTTCTACATTCAAAGTACTCCTAAAATTACACTAAATAAATTTGTACCACATACAATTTTACATGCACCCAGAAAAAGGGTGTCAAAAATCTAAAATCCTTAATATATTTCAAATAAAGGTAGAGGGTAAAATGATACTGACAATATGGATGAAAGGCCAAGTGAATACACTTAAGACATCTTTACTGGATACTTTTCAATCCTCTGACCTTAGTCACTCCAAATGATATAAGAGAACGAGAAAGAACAGTATATATAACGGAGAAAGCAAATCAATGGTGAAGGTCAGGTAAAGGTGTCAGGTCATCTAATTGACATGTTACGTGGCAGCAGGAAATAAGAATGGAATATCATCATCTTGACTACTCTTGCACATAGGACAATGCTCCAAGTTGATTCCCTGCTGCCACTTGACATGACAATTAGATGATGCAATTCCTTCATCAGATCTTCACCCGTGACTTGCTCTCCCTGCTATACATGACCAAGGACCCACGACAGAAACATACCCACTTAAGATGTCCTAAGTGCATGTACTCGTCTCCTTTCAACCTTAATACATTTCATGTACTATCCACATCACTAATTAATTTGAATTTTTTATTGCTGTTGAAAATAAAATAAATACCAAAACTTAAACATAAATCTTTTCAGTTGTAGGTAATCTATGTTGTATTACAAATTACAGTATTTAGATGTCCTAGAGGGAATAACAAGTAACAGGTCATCTGATAAATGCAGTATTCCTGATATAATTCAAATTGAAGGTGCACAAATTGGTGGGAACAAAATCATCATACATAAGGCATTGCTACCAAGCCTTCAGGGACAAATACTGGGACATCAGTCAGTGAGGTTTTAAATGTGAGTATGAACACTGCCTTGCTCAAGAATTAATAAATAAACAAAAAATCATGCATGTACTTCACAAAGTGACTTACTTTGATATTGATATAAATGATAAAAAATATAATTCAGTAAGAAGTTACTAGGAATAAGTGATTTGAGAAAATAATAGGACCAGTGTGTCATGCTGCTATGCAACTAACCAATTTCCTCGTGGGCAGTTGGTGAACCTCCCAATTCGGCATCAGTTTTTCAGGCATAATCATGAAATGAGACTGAAAATTTTGTTGTTGTTGTTGTTTCCTGCACAAAACTTGCAATCTTACAATTATATAAAAAATTAAACCCACTTACTTTAAACAAGTATAAAATCATTAGCATTTCATATTTGCCTGTACAGTATCACATTTTGCATATGGTAGTGACTCATGACAGACATGCTTTACATCTTTATCAATAAAACTGAGAGGTCTTGATATACTTAGTGGGGAAATGTGTGTTCTCAAGTGTCGTGAACTTACATGTGAAGATTTTTTCACACTAAAATATTTTTAACTGTACTTACTTCAAACCTCTGAATGGCTTCCCTAACAAAAACCAACACATCAGTAGCAGCAAGCTCATTGTTGTCAGATAAGAAATCCATAAGGATAGGTATGACATTGGCAGCCACTTCTGGGAACTTCATGCTGATTGTGTGCAAGGTGCGTACAAGTAGCTGACGGTACCTAGTGAAATGAAAAATGTCACAAAAAATATGGTAGTTCAAGAAATGCATATATTAAAATTTTTTAAAGATGTCAAAATTAAGGTTTGAGTAAAGACAACTTTATGAGAAATTACAACGGGCTGATAAAAATAATTCTATTGTTATTACAGCAATGAAATCACTGATGCCAAAATAGCCCAAGACCATAACAAACCTGAAAGCTAAATAACAAATTCAGTACATCCTTGAATAACAACCCCAAAAACTGCAAATTTAGCAACATGCAAAGGAAGAAAACCAACTGTCTTTTGATTTGCTCTGAAAACCCCTTGATGTATGTACCATAATTTATAATGTGCTTGAATGACCCATAAAACCCTGGATGGCTGCATGGCAATGCATAAGGCCATTGTTTTTAGGGGAGGTCCAACACTGTTTTGCTTTTTGTCATCGTGCACTTGTTGCTTACAGTGGCTTCCTGGAGGTGTGGTGTGGCTGACCCAGTGCTAAACAATTCTAGATCTTGACATTACCTTGTCTCATCTCTGGATAATAGCCATTGTATAAAAAAGAAATGCTAGCGATTCTGAAGGTGCCAAGAAGAAAACTAAGCATAAAAAATTCATGGTTTCTAAGAAAATTGAGGTACAGTATTAGCTATGTTTTGAGGTGTGTAATGAAGGTGAGAGGCAGGCATGAAGGCTAGTAATCCATAATTACTGTAATTACACATTCACGTGTCATTACAAGTCATTTACCTACCCTTTGATATACCTTTGAAGAGTTTTGAGCCCTGCCATGGGCCAGGCTCATCTGGTGCTTGCCTGGTCAACCAGGCTGTTGCTGCTGGAGGACTGCTGCCCCACATATCCATCACAGCTGGTTGATCTGGCACCTGGTGAAGATACTTGTCCAGTTTCCTCTTGAAAGCTTCTACACTTGTTCCAGCTGTGTTTCTGATATCTTCTAATAAGATGTTGAATAGTCTGGGACCCAAGATGTTGATGAAGTGCTCCCTTATTGTCCCCACTGCACCCCTACTCCTCACTGGATTTATTTTACACTTCCTCCCATATCTCTCACTCCTGTATGTTGTTATGGCAGTGTGCAGATTTGAGACCAGACCCTCGAGTACTTTCTCGGTATATATTATAATGTATCTCTCTCTCCTCCGCTCCAGTGAGCACATGTTCAAGACTTGAAGGTGTTCCCAATAATTTAGATGTTTTACTGGCTCAATGTGAGCCGCAAATGATCTCTGTATTTGTTCCAGCTCTGATATTTCCCCTGCTTTGAATGGGGCCGTCAGCACTGAGCAATATTCTACGTGAGGGAACACTAGCAATTTGAAGTGTCACCATCAGCACTGTTTACCTTGTTTTGAAAGTTCTCAATACCCACCCCGTAATCTTCCTGGCTGTCATGATCTTTGTCTTATTATGGTCTTTAAAAGAAAGGTCAGCTCACATAATTATTCCCAGGTGCTTTACATGTTCTCCAGTGCCCACTGGAAAACCCTGGTTATGTCTTCCTGTAATTTTTCAGTGTCCTCTACCGTAGTGACTTTCATGTTTATTTTAGTGTTATCTGCAAATGATGATACAAAAGTGTGCCAGGTGTTTTTTATCTCTGTCTGCTATGAGGATGAGAAACAGCAGAGGTGCCTTGGGGCACTGAGTTTTTGACCTCACTAATTCTGGATCTTGCCCTGCTCACTACTACTTTTTGTGTTGTGTGTTAGGAAACTGAAAATCCATCTGCCTACCTTCCCCATAATGCCCATGGCCCTCATTTTTGTGGTGTGCTATCACTCCATGATCGCATTTGTCAAATGCCTTTGCAAAATCTGTGAAAATTACATCTACGTTTTGTTCATCCTCCAATGCCTCTGTAATTATGTTATAATGGTTCAGCAGCTGTGACAGGCATGATCGTCCTGCTCTAAAACTATGCTGGTTTGGGTTATGCTGGTTGTGCTGGTCCATGAACTCTTTCGAAGATTTTTACGACGTGAGAAGTTAGGGCTACTGGTGTGTAATTTTTAGCTAGTGCTCTACTACCTCCCTTATGGAAAGGAGCTATGTCTGCACTCTTTAAGGCCTCTGGTATTTCACCTAGATCTAAGCTCTTTCTCCAAAGAATACTGAGGGCTCTTGCTAATGGTACTTTGCACTTCTTTAAAAATAGAGCATTCCATGAATCTGGCCCAGGTGCTGAGTGAGTGGGCATGTTGTCCATTTCTTTTTCAAAATCTATGGGATTTGTACTAATGTCAGTTAGTTGGTCTGCATGGCCTTCTGCTGGAGTGAAGAAATATTTCTGCATTTTCTACCTTGCTGTCATTTAGTGGACTGCTGAACACCGACTCATACTGTTCTTTTAGGATTTCACTCATTTCCTGTTCACTGTCAGTATACGAATCTCCTCTCAATAATGGTCCAATTCTGCAGGTAGTTCTTAGCTTGAATTTTGCATAGGAAAGAAATATTTTGGGTTTCTTGCAATATCCTGTATGGCCCTTTGTTCCCTCTGTACTACTTCTGTTAGGTATGTTATCCTAAGTTTTTGCTCTAATTCAGTGATCTCTCAGCTAAGACTCTTTCTCCTCTGCTGCAACACATTTGTGTTTTTAAGCAATTCAATAACCCGTTTTCTTCTTCTGTACCATCTCCTATGCTCTCTCTCTATATCCGATCTTCTTCTGGGTTTCCTCAATGGTACGTGCTTCATACATACCTTGTATGCTTCTGTATTCAGCTTCTTTAGGCACTGGTGGGGATTTAGGGTACTCATGTCTGATTCCCAGGATATGTCTGATAGCTCTTGGTTTATTTTTTCCGAGTCAATTCTATGGTGGTTAAAATTAAACTTACTAATGCAGTTCCCTAACCCTGGGTTAATACTCATTTGAACTTCTCTGATGTTGTGATCAGAGTATATTGTTTTTGTAATTGTTATGTCTCTGATTAGTTCCTCGTTGTTTGTGAATATCAAATCCAGGGTATTTTCATTCCTAGTGGGATCAATTATCTGTTGGTTCAATGAGTATTTTTCAAAAAGCCTCAGTTTAGTTCCCTGGTATGTACCTGTTGAGCCAGGGTGCTTCCCGGAGATATTTCTAATAAAACATTACGTTGCACCATCTTCCATTTTACGTGAGGGAGATTAAAATCTCAAAGGAGTAAGATATTTGGTGTGGGATTTTCTAGCCTATCTATCTAGATAGCTATCTATCTTCCTTAAGTAATCTGTAAATTCTTCAGCAGTTGCTGATGGTGGTTTGCATACTGGGATAATCACCAAATTCCTATTTTCAACTTTAATGCCTAGGATTTCTACTATATCATTCGTAGGGTTCAGCACTTCTGTGCAACAGAAAGTATCTTTTACATATAGCCCTACTCCTCCCTGTGACCTATTAATTCTATCACATTTATACATGTTATAGTTTTCTATCTTAATCTCTCCATCCAAAACATCCCTTGTATGTGTTTCTGTAAATACTCCAAACATGGCATTTGCTTCTGATAGGAGCCCACTGACAAAACTTTGTTGTTTTTATTTGATTTCAGACCTAGAATATTTGCAAATATGAAGCAGGAATTACCATTTGGGATGTTTTGCCTTTCTTTGTGTTCCGTTAGTACCACTGGTGATGTATTACCTGGTATGGTCCTTGGTGTACATACCCCTGGTTTCTCCAGTACTGACTTTGCATTAGATTGTACATTCAGCCCTGATGAGCTGATGCCTGGTTTGGCATGTCCCATTTTGCTGCCCATCTGTACCATTCCCCCCTTCTGTCTCTTTCTTTGGTCTGATCGTTTTTAATTATGTATAAAAAAGATTGCTGTTCATTTTCCCTTTCCTTGCTTTCTTTGTATTGCTGCGTTCCTTTTATATGGTGGTTGGGCAGCTCAGGTCATAACATTTTCTGGACTGTGTTGAAGCTTGACACATTACTGGATGGAAGTACCTGCACTCTTTGTTGAAATGACATTTTCCCTTCCTCAACATGTTGGCACATTTTCTGGTGTGTTTATTCCAGCAAGCACTGCCATATACACACATACCTTGTGCTTAGTATCTGCAAAGGTTCTGACTACCTATATTCACTGATTTTGTGTCTTTCCTAAGTTCTGCCACCTGATCTGAGTTCTCTTGTTCTCTTTCATCTAGGCGTATTTCTTCCCTTTTTTCATTTTCGTTTGTCCCTGCTCTAGCTTTCTCTTCCTCCCTTATCCCTTCCTCTATGTTATGTACCCATGTTTGGTTCTCTTCTGACTTGCTCTGAATGGCATTCTCCACTCTTATTTCTACTCTTTGTTTTCCACCTTTATCTGCACTTTCCTACTTTTCTTGTTCCTTACCCCTATTTTCCACTCTTTGTATATATCTGGCAAGCTCCTTAGAAACTTTCTTACACTTTCTAGATTTTCACTTTTCAGTACCTCTCTTATGCCCAGCCAGCTGACCATCTTACTGGGACAAATTCAGAATCGATTTTCTTGTTTTAGGTCAATTCTCATGGCTTCTTGAAGTTTTGTACATGATATATGGGATGTTTTACCACATATTTCACAATCATTGCCCCTAATATTTCTCCCAAAATTTTTTCCACATATACAGCAGACCTGATTTCTGGCCATGATCACTCTTGGGCAGGTGTATGTGGTGGGTAGTGGGTTGTTATAGGTGGGCTGGTAGGTGAGAGGGCTGGGCGGTAGGTATTCGTGGGTAAAGGGTAGGGGTGAGAGCAGGGGGGATGCTGTGAGGTGGGAGGTTGGGATCCGTGGAAAGATGGTGGGGGGTTCAAAAAGGGGGGCTTGGATGTTGGGTTGTGGGATGGTTGGTGGGGATCTGTGGAATGAGGTGGGGGTGCCAGGAGGGGGCTGGGAGGTAGGGATCTGTGGGGAAAGAGGGTAGGGGTGCGTGTACATTTGCGCAGTTTGATTCCATATAATTACACCATAAATTGTACACTATCACTCGGGATTTATTAGGATTTCTCTTATCCAC